CAGAGGTGACCGCGGTGACTCTCGCCCAAGGGGTGGTTTGGGCGGCGTTCTCCTCCGCAAACTCCATAACCTCTCAGGTAGTCGCCGTTCCTTCCTAAGGCTCATCCCAAGGAGTGAAGAGAAGGCAGAATTACATCTCTTTTTCTAGAACCTTTTCCACTATTCTTTGGTTCACTAATTTATCTTTTGATTGCTTTACACGATTTGACCTTTTAATCCTACAAAATGCGCAAATCTCATATATCTAACTAGATTTAAAAGAATAGAAGATGGAAGTTTATGCTTCTCTTATCCCTATTTTCAAGGTTACTTATAGTTAGAAGGCAGAGTATTATGAAATCATAATGTCAAAGGGTGATTGTTGAACCCTTAACTGTTCTTTTCCTTTGTCTCTTTTTCCTATTTTAAACAGCGCACAAATAAAGCCTTCTAGGTATGATGAGATTTATCATTACTGATAATATTTTACCTTAAGATGGAAAACTAATTAGAACGTCACTGGTAACGATCTCTCTACTTCATCAACAAACATATGTCATATTATTAAATGAAAAGGAGGTCTCATATAAATGGACTATTCCACAGACAATAGATTCATTGTCTTTACCATTAGATTTAGGGTGATGCAACCCATGCGGCAAACTGATCAGATTGGGATAATCACATCAATGAAGCACAAAGTCATGCCTATGTGACACGTGATGCTTTTATCATCCTCTATAATGATCCTCTTCGTTATCTAGGACTATTATTTTGGCGTCTGTGAGGAGAATTCTGCAAAATATTTGCATAATATTTTATTGCTTACCCTTACAGACACTTTTACAACAGATAAGGCGTGTTGTCATTCCAAATAGCGAAGGAATATGCGAAAACAACTAAATAGCTTTCCCTAGGAATGACCTCCAAAGGGGTTTTCTGGCCTTGATAGTGTGACAATTATGTTGAGCATCATGTATTAATGTTGCAACACTATTTTTAACTCGAAACGAGCCTTGAGCTAGACGATACTCCCTTTATGAAATTTCTTTACATCAGCAAACTAAGTAATTTTCATGACAAACATCTATTTTGATGTTTTTTCTTTTAAGAAAACTATTTCAAAAGCACAACTAAAATTTCTATTAGTCAAAAAACAAAAATTTAGGCTACATTTTTCGCATCGCATTGCAATAAAATAGTAATAATGATATTCTTGATTTCAGCTTTACAACCTTTTGTATATAGTATATCACAACAATAAAAGCGATTATAATAGTACGAATTAAATGATAATATACCTTTTCGCATCTCCGATCTTTTTTAAATTTGACAAAGTTAATTTTGTATTGTTAGGAATAATCAGAGTATAAATTTATTTTAAATTTAATTACCAAGTTAAACTTACCTTTTTCACTACATTTATAATCACAAAAAATGCTTGCACGACGTATTTGTGGAAGTGGCCTTGTCACAGGAGTTAGCACTCTTGCACGGCACTCCTCGCAGAAGGTACAGGGCGATGTGATTGGCATTGATCTTGGTACGACATACAGTTGCGTGGCTGCGATGGACGGCGATAAGGCGCGAGTGCTTGAGAACATTGAAGGCTTCCGCACGACACCATCGGTTGTTGCGTTTAAAGGGAACGAAAAGCTGGTAGGGCTTGCTGCTAAGCGCCAGGCCATCACAAACCCTCAATCGACGTTTTACGCAGTGAAGCGTCTTATCGGGCGACGCTTTGACGACGAGCACATCCAGAACGACGTCAAGAAGGTGGCGTACAAGATCGCGCGTGCGAACAACGGGGACGCGTGGGTGCAGGACGGGAATGGAAAGCAGTACTCCCCATCGCAGATCGGTGCGTTTGTTCTGGAGAAGATGAAGGAGACGGCGGAGAACTTCCTCGGAAAGAAGGTGAGCAACGCGGTGGTGACGTGCCCGGCGTATTTCAACGACGCGCAGCGACAGGCAACGAAGGATGCGGGGACGATCGCGGGGATGAACGTGATTCGTGTGGTGAACGAGCCGACGGCGGCGGCGCTTGCGTACGGGATGGACAAGACGAAGGATACGCTGATTGCCGTGTACGACCTCGGCGGTGGCACGTTCGATATCTCGATTCTCGAGATCGCAGGGGGTGTGTTTGAGGTGAAGGCGACGAACGGCGACACGCACCTGGGCGGTGAGGACTTCGACCTCATGCTGACGGACCATATCCTGAAGGAGTTCCAGTCGACGACCGGGATCGACGTGAGCAAGGAGCGCATGGCGATGCAGCGTATCCGCGAGGCCGCGGAGAAGGCGAAGTGCGAGTTATCGTCGGCGATGGAGACGGAGGTGAACCTGCCGTTCATCACTGCGAACCAGGACGGCGCGCAGCACATCCAGATGCACATCAACCGTAGCAAATTCGAGTCTCTGTCCGATCGGCTCATCCAGCGATCGATTGCGCCGTGTAAGCAGTGCATCAAGGACGCCGGGATTGAGATGAAGGAGATTAACGACGTGGTGCTAGTGGGCGGCATGACGCGGATGCCGAAGGTGATCGATGCCGTGAAGCAGTTCTTTGGGAAGGAGCCGTTCCGCGGGGTGAACCCCGACGAGGCGGTTGCCCTCGGCGCGGCGACACTCGGCGGTGTTCTGCGCGGCGA